GATAAAGATAGATAGATAGATAGATAGATAGATAGATAGATAGATAATGATGGAGATGTAAAGATGAGGGATAGATAGATAGATGGATAGATAGATAGATAGATAGATAGATAGATAAAGATAGATAGATAGATAGATAGATAGATAGATAGATAGATAGATAGATAGATAGATAATGGTGGAGATGTAGAGATGAGGGATAGATAGATAGATAGATAGATAGATAGATAGATAGATAATGATGGAGATGTAAAGATGAGGGATAGATAGATAGATAGATAGATAGATAAAGATAGATAGATAGATAGATAGATAGATAGATAGATAGATAGATAGATGTTCGGTAGATGGATGGATAGAAGATATTAAACAGATAGAAAGATATTGAATAGATGGATGAATTAATAGATAGATAGATAGATAGATAATAGATAGATAGATAGATAGATAGATAGATAGATAGATAGATAGATAGATAGATAATGATGGAGAGATGAGGGATAGATAGATAGATAAATGTTCGGTAAATGGATGGATAGAAGATATTAAACAGATAGAAAGTTATTGAATAGATGGATGAATTAATAGATAGATAGATAGATAGATGATGATGGAGATGGAGAGATTAGGGATAGATAGATAGATAGATAGATAGATAGATAGGAGATAGATAGATAGATAGATAGATAGATAGATAGATAGATAGATAGATAGATAGGAGATAGATAGATAGATAGATAGATAGATAGATAGATAGATAGATAGGAGATAGATAGAGATAGATAGATAGATAGATAGATGATAGATAGATAGATAGATAGATAGATAGATAGATAGATAGATGATAGATAGATAGATAGATAGATAGATAGATAGATAGATAAAGATAGATAGATAGATAAAGATAGATAGATAGATAGATAGATAGATAGATAGATAGATAGATAGAAGATATTAAAACAGATAGAAAGATATTGAATAGATGGATGAATTAATAGATAGATAGATAGATAGATAATGATGGAGATGTAAAGATGAGGGATAGATAGATAGATGGATAGATAGATAGATAGATAGATAGATAGATAGATAATGATGGAGATGTAGAGATGAGGGATAGATAGATAGATAGATAGATAGATAGATAGATAGATAGATATAGATAGATAGATAGATAGATAGATAGATAGATAGATAGATAGACTTTCATAAATCCCAGAGTCCTCCTTTAATCTCTAGCGGAAAACCGAGAAGCAGGTTATAAGTTTAGCTCTCTGAAGAGGGAAATTTTTCACCGTCTTGCTGCAATAAATTCATGCCTGGCTTTTCTCCCTCCATTAAAAAATCATTTTCATATCTCTAAATCTTCCCCTTGTCCCTACTTTATTAGAATATAAAATCAAAAGGCAATGAAAGCAGCCACTCCGGCCCTGTCTCCTGGCAAATGTCTTCATTACCCACCTCCACCAGCGTCATATGTTCCCGCAATTTTATGGGCACCTTAAACGAGAGATATTCTTACCACTAAACGCCGTCCTGTCCTCCATCCGCCGCCTGCTGCAGATAGGACACAGCTCATTTCAGGTTCTGTTCATTTCAGACCATTTTACGCCCGTCCTGCTTGAAAGTCGTTTGTGAAGTTTTTGCGAAGCGATGGCATGAAGGAGCTGGAGGGATGACTTTCAACTTGTAACGGGGATGTATGGCGGTTTTGCATATGTTTTATTCATTTAAAGCTGATCTCCATCCTCCCCTTCAGTCTTGCACAGTTGTAGTGGCTCCTCTCCTAGACGGAAATGTCTTTCCCCGATTTCACTGCACACTGTGAGCTTCTCATAATGTGCACTAAATACTGCAGAAGGTCAGAGTTTGCCTCATTTCTAGGCAGGAGCATGTCCAGCATCCCCAGCATCATCCTCCCCAGCTGATCTGCCTCAGGCCCACCCCTTTCATTCAATGGGGTTCAGTTCTTTCAATGGGCATTACCGCAGCTTCCTATTTTACAACAACCTACCAGTCCCTCCCATCAGCCATGATCTGCCTTCATTGAATAGAAAAGCACAGAGATCAAGTGATTACTCTCCGGGTCTGAAATAAGGTATATAAAGGAAAGCATAAAGGTTTCTGTAACACACTGCATTAATACTGATTGCAGGATGTTAATTAAACACAAGATGGCAGTGTTCTGTGGTTCAGTTATCTGGACTCTATTGAAGAAAAGCCTTGTTGAACTTGTATGCTGGCAGCAGGACTTCTGCACTCGGACAAGGAGTGAACAGACTACATTTCCCAGAAGAGCTGGCAAAGGGATGGGAGCAGGGGCGGACTGACAACTCATGGGACCCCGGGCAATAGGGGATCATGGGGCCCCTGCGTCCTTGCCCAAACTCAAAAAAGGCTATGAAAAAGGTACCAGGGGCATCTCATGGGGCCCCCTACTGACCCGGGCCCTCGGGCAGTGCCCGAGTTTCCAAATGGTTAGTCCGCCCCTGGATGGGAGCATATACATTGAGAAGCCCAGGAACTTTACAGGAAGGAAGTAGATAGTGAGAGGCAGAGGACAGGTGTGGAGAAGGCCGTGTGGGACTCAGGAGATCCAGGCTGTATTGGGCCGATTCCTGGAGAAGGAAAGAAGGGCTGCAGAATGTTGGTATCGCCGATGAGCAGGACAGTCAATTCTGCGAGCAGGCGGATAGTAGTGCTGTTATCTGCATCACTTTTCAACAGAGGGACCAAAAAGAACATGGGGGCTCCCTCAACTGAGAGAATACCTCATACGCTGCAAAGACCAAAATCGGCTGAAAGGTTTTCATAAACCAGACTATCACAAATTGCAGGTGACTGTGTTAATAAGTGGTGCACCAAAATGAAAATTCTGGTGCCGAAACCGAAATGGACAGTTTTTAAAAATTAATTTTTGGAAAAAAATACATTTTAATGATTTAATAAAAAAACAATATATACCCCATTTTTTTGTAAAATATGAAAGATGATGTTACGCCGAGTAAATAGATACCCAACATGTCATGCTTTAAATTACCCACGCTCGTGGAATGGCGCCAAACTACGGTACTTAAAAATCTCCATGGGTGATGTTTAAAAATTTCTACAGGTTACCAGTTTAAAGTAACAGAGGAGGTCTATTGCTAGAAGTATTGCTCTTGCTCTGACGTTTACCGTGATACCTCATGTGTGGGCGTGGCTTACATATGCATTCGCCACTACGCGCGAGCATGGGGGGACTGGGACGCTTTAAACATTTTTTTAATATATTTATTTTATTACTTTTTTTAAACTGTCCCTTTTAAAATATTTATTTTTTAAATCACTTTAATTCCTATCATAAGAAATTCAAATTTCCCTTGTGATAGAAATAATTAGTGACAGGTCCTCTTTATGGAGAGATCTGGGGTCAAAAAGACCCCACATCTCTCCTCTACAATGTAAAGCATTAGATCAAAAAAGCATTTATCTAGTGCTTTAAAGAAAAAAAAAATGGCCTTGTTTACAAGGCGCCGGAACCGGAAGTGACGTAGTGATGTTGCTCCGATCCTCCAAGGGCATAGAGATGAGAAGGCACCATCTTTCCTTCACTGATCTCTATGCCCAGGGTCGGGATCGTTGGATGGGTTCTCAGGTAAGGCTGAGAACCACCAGGTGGCACCTGTATTGGTGCTTATTTTCAAAGACCGATAGAGGTGTTTGTGGCCGAAACGTTTCTGCCCCCGAAATTTCGGTGCATCCCCAGTGTTCCTTTTAATTGTTCAACTCAGTTCACTTTGCACCATAGATCATCACACTGAGACCCAGACTGCGTAGCCCTTCCTGTGTTATGACCTATGGCTTTAAGCCGGCCATACACGGGTCAAATTTCAAAAGAATTTTCTTTCGAAAATGTTTTCTAAGAATTTTTGTTCGAATTTCTCACCATTAGTGGGTCGTAGAAATGGACGATTTTCGCATGACCATCGAAATGTTTTGGAAAACGAACGAATTTTGAATTAATGATGGGAGAATTGCGCAAGAAATATAAAGAAAAGAAAATTCTTGGCCACGAAAATTCTTTTTTGTAGCAACATGAGAAGAAATTGAAGGATTTGGTTCGTTGAATTTCGAAATCAATGGTGGTGCCAATGGATTAAAAAACGCACAAAATTTCTGATTTTCTAAAGAAAATTTGTTTGGAATGCGAACCATGTATGGCCTGCATTGGTGTCTCACCACCACAGACAGGACTCTCATTTCAAGCCTCTTCCAGCTCCAAAAAGGAACTTGCTTCACCAGACTAGTTCACCATCTTTAGGGGTACAACCTCTGCTGAAGTCTGCTTCCGCCCCTTTCTTCACTTTCAGCCAATTCAGGCCTTCATCGTTCATGTTAAAAACACCTTATCCAGTTTCAACATCAAAAGGGGGAATCATCCTGTGGCTACGTCCTCTTGCTCTTACACAAGAGGGGATCTGGTCTTAACCTCTCTAGCGGTCTGATTATGTCCATATTTCTGTGCTCAAAGCGGTACATTTTTTTGCATGGAAATATGTCATTTTTTTATTGTAGGCTGTAATTTTTAGGAATAACTCACTGAAATCTGTCCGAACAAGAGTCTAGTAAACATCCCGGGGATGATAAAATGTGAAACACACGAAATCTTAAATTATAATTTAATAAATAATCATAAAAAATAATAATATAATAATAAATTTAATTCAATAATATAATCAAACCAAAAAACACTGAAATGTGAAATAGAGCGCCAAGTTCACACATCACTGAGCAAAGTTGCAGAATCGTTTTCAGTGTCTGATGAGGAATTTCCCCCACTAATCATTATCACTCAATTCTGCAAGTGGTTCTGATTTACTATCGCTGTTCTCTAGCCGGTCTAAAACAGATTTTGACATAAAGGGACGCTTTTTGGACGCCATGGACTTTTCTAAGTTTCAAGGCAGAAAGAACAGTAAAAATGCAGGCAGGGCGCCGGACAAAGCACTTGGGACAAAATGTATGTGAAATGGTTTGATACAATAATGTTTTACTATGTGATTTTAGTGTATTTAGTGAATGTCACAATATGTCATTTTCAAATTTCCCACCGTTCCGTCGCCCGTATGTCCCGACGCTCGCAGGGAACGGAACCCAGATGACAGATGCCGACATCCGCCGGAGAACATTACAGGGGACACTGCAGGAGGGACATCGCGGGAGCGCAGGACAAGGTAAGTGACTGAGGGATCCCGGAGCAGCGCCGCATGGTAAGCCCGAGTGTAGGTCGGGGTTACCGCTTTTGGTACTGAAACTTTACCCTGAGCTACACTCGGGAATACCGCCAGGGGGATTAATGTGCACCAACTAGGGCCCCATCAAGCGCGCACAAGATTTGTCACCTTTTTTTTAGGAGATACAAAAGGGGACATTACTGCTTGTAACAAAAGTATTCCTTCTCAAAAGTCAAACCCAGTTATGAGCAACTAAGAACCCAAAAGTGAGTTAGCCTGCCATCTTGATAGTTCACTTCAGCTCAATTAAAATATCAAATTCCTTCATAAATTTTGGCCAAAATATATTCTGCTACATGTCTTTGGTGAAACAAAAATCCCAATGAGTGTATATTAACTGGTTTGTGTGAAAGTTATCGTGTCCGTGAACTATGGGATATGTACTGGAATTTACGCAGCTATAGACGCTATAGTGGTCAGCTACTTATAGTGGGACTGCGATAGGGTGGCGGGCAATCTGGCTCAAAAATATTATTGCTGGAAGGGACACACAGGGGTTTATTTACCAAAGCTGGAGAGAATCATTATCTAAAGGGCAGCAACTATAATTCTTTAACCACCTCCCATCTGGCCCATGTACATAAACGGCCGGACGGGAGCAGTGCAGGGGAGGGTGGCCATTTATAAACATCCTCCCGCTTTCCTGCTTGTGCGCGCTCCCTGGGAGCACACGGCACCGCGATCCGGTGCCCTGTGTCCTCCGAACACAGCGGAACACAGATCGCTGTACGGGACCTCTGTGTGAGGACCTGATCATGTGATCCCTGATTGGCCAATCAGAGATCACATGAATAGTAGTAAGCAAGATGTCACTTCCTGACACCATCGCTTGCTACGTGTGAAATCTGTGAATGACCACAGAGATCACATGGTACAGGGCTATTCACAACAGCCTTGTACCATGTGACAAGCTGTGACCAATCACAGCTCTCACAGTATTTCTCAATGGCTGCAAGAATGCAGCCAGAGAGAAGGAGAAATGATTGCTTTTGCAGCCTTTATGGGTGTAAAAGCAATGAGTGTAAAAAAAAAAAAAAAAAAATCTTCATCACCCCCCACAAGTAGTACAGTGTCATTATGGTGACACTGTACTGCTAGGGTGACAGTATGTTAAAAAAAAACATAAATAATAATATAAAAAAATAAAATAAAAATGTAACAAAAAATTTAGAAAAATTATAATTTTTGGTAATAAACTAATTTGGGTTATTTTTTTTTTTTACTATAAAAAAAAAAACTGAATAAATTTTGGGCAAGATTTATGAAGAATGATTATTTATTTACAAAAACACTTTTTTAAAAAACATTTGGGACTTTTTCATTTATGTAGCAAAAAAAAAATAAAAATCCCAGTGGTGAATAAATATCACCAAAATAAAGTTTTAGCTGTCTCAAAAAAATGCTAAAAAATTCATATGGGTACAGTGTTGCATGACCGCGCAATTGTCATTCAAAGTGTGATAGTGCTGAAAGCTGTTAATTGACCTGGACAGGCCGGGGGTGAAAGTGTCTGGACTTGAAGTGGTTAAAGCAAGAAAAGATAGATCACCCAGAGGGGATTTTTTTTTTCATAAAAAGTGGTGTTACGTTTTGACCATTCTATTATATTCTGTATATCATTCTACCATGCTATTTTCTTGGTAGTTTTTCCTATTTTTCAACCATTCATTTGTTTTGTTTGTTATTTTTTTCACTGTTATTTTTAGATTTGTTATGTTTTTTTTTTGTTCTGAGTTTATTGAAAGCTTTTCATGTCTTCTCATGTGACAAGTCACGGATGCAGAATGTAGAAAAAAAAAAGGGGGGGGGGGGGGGAGAAGAAATGGTACAGTACGCTTTATGTTTTTTTTCTTCTTTGGACTGTAAAAAAAAAAGTTAAATGTTATATGAAATATATTACTTTGTTACTCTATTTTGTCTAACAAGGTACAATTATAAATGGTATGGGGCCCAGGACCACAGTTAACAGCTTGCACAGTGAGAGCAACATCCATTCCCCAATCCCTCCTTCAACTAATGACTCCAGACCAGGGGCGGACTGACCATTTGAAAACTCGCGCACTGCCCAAGGGCCCAGGGTCAGTAGGGGGCCCCATGTTGCCCCTGGTACCTTTTTCATAGGCTTTTTTGAGTTTGGGCAAGGACACAGGGGCCCCATGATCCCCTATTGCCCGGGGGCCCCCATGAGTTGTCAGTCCGCCCCTGCCCCAGACGCGACCTTTATTACTTCCAGGGTCACAGCTGTCACACCTTGGCTAGTGTAACTGAGGATGCAGCGATTTAAGCACAATCTGTGCTTGAATAGCTGCAATGGAGGGCAGGGGAGACACTGGGGGTCTAATAGACCTTTAATATCTCAATAAAGAGGACCTGTCACTTGCCCATGCTGTCACATAGGGAGCTTGATAGCAACAAAGTTTTAAAAAAAATAAAGAATATAAAAGAAAAAAAAATATATAAAAGAAAAACAATTTTAAAAAAGTTTTAAAGTACTCCCGTCACCCCTGTACACACCCCATATAAAAAGTACAGCGTAGAGCTCACGTAAGTAAACATCAATTGCGCCAAACATACGAGGTGTCACCATGAGTGAGAGAGCAATAATTCTGGGGTCCATCATACACAGAAAACTCTAAATTGATAACCTGTAAAGGCTTTAAATCGTTGAATATGGAGAATTTGGTGCACCTTTTTTTTTTGTTTTTGCAATTTTTACAGCATGTTTGGTATCTGCTTACTCGAAGCAACCCAATATTTAATTTAGAATTGGGTTTGGGTATGATGAGGGGGGGGGATTTACCAAATCTGGTGCAGTTCTGCATAGAAACCAATCAGCTTCCAGATTTTAGTGTCAAAGTTGAACAAGCTGAAGTTAGAAGCCGATTGGCTCCCATACACAGCTGCACCAGATTCTGAGTGCTCCAGTTTTAGTAAATCTCCCCCAATATTGTGTTTGTTTGCACTAAAATTCAACATAGTTTTTTTCTGAAAATTTGCGTTTGATAAATAGAAGCGCAAATATCATGTGTCGTAAAAAATTGTAGCTACCATCATTTTATTCTCTAGGGTCTGTGCTTTATGGAAATGTACGTTTTAGAGAGTTTACAGTAGGGATACAATGATATACCAGAGGCCGAAAATGGTGATATTGGCATTTTGATGACAGGAAAAGAGGTGACAATAATGGCTGCCGAAAACGATTTTACCTGCGATTTTTCCACATTTATTGTGCGGTTTTCATAGGTCATGTAACTCAAAAACACATCAAAACGCAACACATGTGCGTTTTTGATGCGTTTGATACATTTCAGGCCTGGTTCACACCAATGCTGTTTTCCTTTTGTCTGGTTTGCAGTGCCTTTTGAGTTTTTTACACACACTTTTTTTGAAGCTTTTTGTGTTTTTTAAATGTTTTTTTGTTTTTTGGCCAACTTGTTTCTAGGCAGATTAAAAACGCATCAAAAACATGGTAAATGCAAACTGTTAACCATTTGCCCTCTAGAGGATTTACCCCCCTTCCCTGACCAGGCCATTTTGTGCGATACGGCGCTGCGTTACTGTAACTGACAATTACGCGGTCATGTGATGCTGTCTATAAACGAGATTTATGTCATATTTTTTCCCACAAATAGAGCTTTTGGTGAAATTTGATCACCTGTGTGCTTTTTATTTGCGCTATTAAACGAAAAAAATTTTGAAACAAGAAAAACAATATTTTTGACTTTTTGCCATAAAACATATCCTATAAAAAATATTTAATATTTTCTTCATAAATTTAGGCCAAAATGTATTCTGCTACATGTCTAGGCTAAAAAAAAAAAATTCCAGTACGTGTAAATTAATTGGTTTACGTGTAAGTTATAGCATTTACAAATGGCGGTATAGATACTGGAATTTTTATTTTTATTTGTTTTATACTAGTAATGGTGGCAATCAGCGACTTATAGCGGGACTGCAGCGGACACTCTGACACTGGGGGGAACTGACTAACTGTCACTGACATCCCCAGTGACACCAGTACAGTGATCAATGCTAATAAAAAGCACTGACACTGTACTAATGGCACTGGCCAGGAAGGGGTGATCAAAGGGTTAACTGTGTGCTGTGTGTGTTTTACTTGGGAGGCATGCTGCTTTGTATCTCTGTTCTGTGCAGAGAGATATAAAGCAGCATGTCCATGCTGACAGGAGAGAGATCTGTGTTTACACACAGATCTCTCTCCTCTCAGCCCTGCCGAGGATCACCGAGTCCCGACTGGGAATCATCAGCCGGGACCCCGGTGATTGACATCCCCAGCAGCCAAAAGCAGTGCGTGTAGGGCGGCGTGCATGCACGTGCCGCCAACACGGAGATGCAAATCACGTACTGTATATATACACACGTGATTTTGCAGAGCCCTGCCGCCCTGTAGCAGTATATCTGCTATAGGGCAGAGGACAAGCGGTTACCCCAGGTTCTCAGCTAAGCATTTTCTGCAGCGTTTTTCAGAAACGCACTACAGTCCATTTTATATGGGACACGTTCACATCTCCACGGTTTCACCCGGTGCGTTTTTTGGAAAGGGTCAGGGACTTCTTTGAACGCTAAACCTGGGTTCACATATATGCGGTGCAGTACATCACGTTATGCGCACAGGAACCGCACCGCATTCCTGTGCAAAATCACATGCGATTTGTGTGCAGTGCGATTGGATCCATACATTTTCTATGGCTCTAATCGCACCCCACCCGCACCACAAAGGTGCAGGACCCTTTTTTGGTCCGCACTAGAATTGGATCGCATGGGTATTCACACCTATGTGATCCGATTCTGCACATCTCACCGCGTTTTGCTAACCGCTTTCGGGGTGTTGTTAACTTAACATACACACCCGCAGCGGGTCGCATGAATGGGGTGCGATTGTGATGCGGTGAGGAATTCACACAGAAAACGCTGAGAATTCCGCACCGCATCAGTGTGAACCAGGGCAAAAATTTGCATTTTTGGTTCTATAGACTGCAATGGAAACATAGTTATTATTATTATTATTATAAAGTATTTATATAGGCCAAAGGGTTTGCTC